CAAACTGGACCCTTTATTTTGCTCACTGGGTTAGACTGTTCTAGTTCCACGTGCCATGTTTTTAATTGATGTCAGTTATCAGTTATCTCCTGTTAATTAGCCCTATCCAAGTTCTCCACTGCCTTGAACTCACACTTTTTGAGTCCTGTCACGGGATCTAACCAACGCCTTTATCCACTCAAGGTCACATGGCACAGTGATTCGGATTCGACAGAAGTCACACACAGTCAGAGACTGCGTGACGACTTCCACCTTAGGAAGTCTCGCAGGTTAGTATTTATGAAAGGGGAAGGATTCATTCTAATGTAGATAGGTCACCATAACACTATTCTCCTTAGTTCCTCGTCTGCGTGAATTTAAGCGTGTTACTCGATTGGCAATTAGGTATCACCGTTTTATTGTTGAACTAGCTAGATGCAACCGTCAGGAAGGCTCTAATAGTTGTTTTTTTGTTCGTTTTTTTATCGCACTGTGGTATTCCCTTCCGCTTTTTTGCTTCCTTAATAACTACAATCCTTGAAAATTTAAGTGCAACGTCAATAGCCACTTTCGGTATTCCAAAATATCCGTTCTTTTGTTGTCCTTTTCCTCATTTCTTCTCACTAAATTCTTCTCATTCAATTTCATTCCCTGTAGCCTCTCGTGTCTTGCTTGGGGTGGAGCCATTAATAAAATCAATAATTAATTATTAGTCGTTACTCAGCAAATCCTTCAAAATTTTTAATGTTTAAGGATTAAAATTGTTGTCAGGCTTGCTGAAAATTTTCGCGAAATCAAAATGGCCGTCCTAAAAAACAAACTTAGAACTGAATCCATGAGAGAGCGACAGATCAGAAATAAGGAAGAGACAATTTACTCTTTGTAGCTATCAATAAAAAATAGATTATTTCTCTCCCCCTCTTCCTGTCTCACCCCCTCTTTTTCTCTCTCCCTATTTATCTCTCTTCCCCTTTCTCTCTCTCTCTCTCCCATTTTTCTCTCTCTCCGTCTTACTCTCTCTTCCTCTACCTCTTTCATATCTTCTTGCAGAATGATTTATGGCGTGTGCATTTGTTGATATGACAACATTTATAAGAAGATTAGATTTTATCTTTATCTCTAAAATGAAAATTATACTTGATTTATATGTCTGCTCAAGAGAACATTAATTAATAAAAAGTTCTTATAAATCAAGGAGGACAAGATGGATGTCTGAAAAATGGCAAACACGACATGTAACTTTTTCGTTCTTTCAAAGAATATTGGAAAAAAGTAAAAGCGGACAAATGTGGATGAAGTGTCGCTTCGAGGTGAACGTGTCAGGCAGGAAAAAATAATTTTTAATAAACATGCAGATACTATGAAGTGGACAGAATTTTCAAGCATTTGGATTTTCCATTAAACTGAAACTATTATAAAATGTACGGCAGAAATACCTCCCATATTTTAAACAATTAACTGTGTTCTGCTAGTAACTTTAAACAAATGGCACTGGGTTTTCATCTAGCTAATGGCTGATCATTCTTTTCAGACAGAAGCCAGCCGTTTCAGCAAGGGTTTCAGAATACACCGACTGCACATCTGCAAAACAGTAAGAACTCCCCACCCCCAAATGAGACGTCCTGGGTAAGACGATAAACTACGTCCAACAGCAAGGCCTCTGTTCAGGAGGTTTTGAGGAGCGTAGAACCACTTTCTTAATTGCTGGTATTCCCAGGTCCACCCTGACCCGGGGTGGTAGCACCTGTTAGGGTCACAGCTATGGGCAAATAGTTAACCCCAAACTGGGGTCAAAACATTATGAAAGTATAACAATAGGTTTTAATACCAGCAATGCATTTTTGAGGAAAGGGGAATAACCAGTAAAACAGTTTTGAAAAAATATTACCAACATAGATAGATAATAAAAAAATCTTGTCGGCATTAAATAACCAATTGAGGTTGATACGCCGTAAAACATTGAGGACACATGGCACAGTGGATAAAGGCGTTGGTTAGATCCAGTGACAGGACCCAAAGAGTGTGAGTTCAATACCCAGTTAAGGCAGTGGAGAACTTTCAGAGGGAAATTAACAGGAGATAACTGACACCCATTAAACACGTGGAACTAGAACAGTCTACCCCAGTGAGCGAAATAAAGGGTTCAGTTCGACATTCCAACCACTTGAAAAAGGCCGGAGCGTACAACGGCCGAAATGTTGTAATAAATATGGCGACAAAGATGAGGACAATAGTCCGAATAATGTAAATAATGTACATAATACCTCATCTCAGAAATATAGACAGACTCTATCGGTATTAAATAACCCATTGAGGTTGATATGCCGTAAAACATAAAAAAAAGAAACTAAACCAAGGAAGACAAATCTGGATGAACGTCGCTTCGAGGTGAACGTGTCAGTCAGCCAAAAATAATTTTTCATAAACACGCAGCTACTATGATATGGACAAAATTTTCAAGCATTTGGAATTTCCATTACACAAAAATTATTATATAATACCTCCCATATTTTAAATTATTAACTGTGTTGTGCTAGTAACTTTAAACGAATGGCACTGGGTCTTCATCTAGCTATTGTCTGATATTTCTTTTCAGATACCATCAGTTACCACCATGTCTTGGGACAGTGCAGACCCTGCGATTGCTGTAGAAATAAGATTTTTAAGACTAGTTAATCTGTAATATTATGGTACGTTGGAATGTAATTCTCCCGGACATAAAATATCAATAAAAAGAGGAATCGGTGCTCGCACTGAGTACAACGCGACCAACGGTTGCCAAAGCTCAGGAAAATTTCCTCCTTGGCCCGGGTGTACGCGCTCGGGTCCCCACATTAAACCCGACCTTGTGTCACATCCTGTCTCAGTGGGGAGCCAGGGTAAATATCTATACTTACCTGGTGTGACGGGTAGATTTTTATCATCTCTCAGTTGCGTTTCGAACAGACGGACAGAGTGCGACTCAGTTGCGGCTCCGTCGGGGGACAGAGACGCAAACTGAAGAAAATCACACGGTGAGGTGCCCAGCCCTGGGAAACAGATAGCCGAGGCTGCACCCTTTCATAGCACTAAAGAGAGGGATCAGTGCTCGCACCGAGGCCAGAGCAATTGACGGTTGCAGGGGCTCGTGAAATTTCTGTTCTTGGCCCGAATGTATGCGCTCGAGTTCCCCACGTTAAACCGGACCTTGTATCACATCCCGTCTCAGTGGGGGAGGCCACGGTAAAATATTTTCGAATTTGCATATCATGATCGACATTGGGAATTGTCCAATGTTCAGGTTTGATCTGTTGTTTTTCTTCAAGTACTTTCGACCAACTCAGTCATTATCAAGAACCATGTGCTGTTGGTGAAGTAGACAAGATTCCGTTGGCTACATCCCGCTGTCTTATACAGGGTGGGACGGGTTAATTTTCGCCACTTTATATTTTTTGATTATGCGCATGCACGTTGTTAGGTTTTGATTTTGTCAACTCCACAATATTGTAGGGTCAGTTGGGTGCCGTCCGTGAAAAGAGAGCACCAATTTGGAATTCATACCGCCAGAAATTTGGAAACAACATGCTGTACTTTTTGGCATTCGCACCGGAAGCTCTAATACAATTATGATTTTGGTGTTCAATCTGAAGACAGTGCAGAGGATTCGGAAAGAGTTTGATGTGTCTAATGGTGATTATGAAGGTGTTTGGAGTGATCACTAGTGATGGCGAAATTATACTCCCATTCATCTTCCCACAGGGCCTCAGACTCAGCGCGGAGGCCTTCATCAAGTGATTTGAGGAGGTAGTGCTGGCTTGGGTCAAGAGAGGGCGCTGTTGGAAGACCTTATGTCTAACAACAGTACTCTGCATCATGCCACAAAATCAGGAGAACCCAGTCATGGCTGTCAGATATTTTTGCAACCACATCTTTCCTTACATCTGGCCACCTAAAACGCCAGTCTGCAACCCCCTTTATTATTATGTGTTGGGTGAAATTGAGCGAGAGTCCAACAAAATTCTAACACCAAAGACAGACTGAAGGCAAGGATTATGGCAGTATTCAGCAACTTAAACAAGGAGACCGGCCAGAATTTTTGAAGGAGATTTCGAAGCCGTCTGGAGGAAACGGTTGAACCCAATGGCGATTTTATTGAAGAAATCTACTCTTTAATGTTTCAAGATACTTTTGTGTAATTTTGATAAATATATCTTAAAACTGTTATTTTCATTTTGGCCTCATTTAGACGACAATTTATCCATCGCAGCCTGCATATCTGTTAAAACGAGGTCAGTTTCATTTTCATTTCCCCCCCCCCATTTAGACGACAATTTATCCATCCCACCCAGTACGCTGAAAGTTTGAAACATGCTGAACGGCTAAAGGAGGGAGAACGCATCAGATATTTGGCATAAAATATTATCTTTTTATTGCATACTAGCAGTAGAGCCCGGCGTTGTCCGGGGATATAACAGTAAGAGATAGATCAAGTATCGACCATCATAAAGACTGAAAAATAAAATTGACAAAGATTATTGTTTAAGGTTGACGGACACGCATGTCTTAATAAGTTTTTTTTTTTACGAATTGGTCAAACTCAAACAAAAACATTGTTTTCAATCGTTATGAGTCTACCGATTGAATAGAATTTTATTATAAACAATTGTCTTGTAAATGGAATTTTTAAAGCATTCTGAATGTAAAAATAAAGAAAAAAGTGTGCAAGACAATAAGGAACACTACCTGCCAAAAAGAAAATGTAGGAAATCCGATCCCATATATAAACGAACACACACACACACACACACACACACACATACAAATACAAACAACCTGGGTTTTATAATAAGTATAACTCGATATGAGTTGTACACCTCTCATTCTCACGATGCCTTAATCGTTGATTTCGTGCAAAAACAATTGCGTTTTTTTCAATTTTGGGCGCTGTCAGAACCACCGCAAGGTAATTTTACGTAGTCCTGTGAAGTTTTGTTGAAATCGGTTGAAAAATGTAGGAAATCCGATCTAATATATAAACGTACAGACACACACACACACACACAACCTGGGTTTTATAATAAGTATGATTACATATTTTGCAAACACTTAATTATAACATTTCTTATGGCGAAAGATAGTTGGAATTATTTCTTAACCTAGACGAAGCGACAACATCCTTTTGCCGCGTCACCCAACGTCTATTAGAACAGCGTGATATTGGGAGTCAGACTAATGCGGACGGGCACAGAGAGAGAGAGAGAGAGAGAGAGAGATGCGAGGCGATAAGAAATCAATGGCTAGATGTTCACAAAGATTAATGCACTGAGATGTATGGACAGATAATTAAGTAGTAAGATGTGAAAAGGCTTAAATAACGAAAAAGAACGCAAGGACTTAGATAGATAGATAGATAGATAGATAGATAGATAGATAGATAGATAGATAGATCCTGAACAGAATGAGATAGATAGATAGATAGATAGATAGATAGATAGATAGATCCTGAACAGAATGAGATAGATAGATAGATAGATAGATAGATAGATAGATAGATAGATAGATAGATAGATAGATCCTGAACAGAATGAGATAGATAGATAGATAGATAGATAGATAGATCCTGAACAGAATGAGATAGATAGATAGATAGATAGATAGATAGATAGATAGATAGATAGATAGATAGATAGATAGATATGGATAATCTACAATAGATAGATAGATAGATAGATAGATAGATAGATAGATAGATAGATAGATCCACCTGACTCGACTGAAACAGGCCTCACTGAACTGAATACACAATTATTGTCTGCGGACTGAGATGGGAAAACTGAAAGATATGCAGATTGAATTTATTTATAGAAGTTCTTTTCATGAGCGTTATACACCGCCATTGTCCCATTTGAGAGGAAAATGTTTGGCCTTTGCTTAGCATCCAATCGTGTAAGGGTCCTGCTTGGTGCAGCAAGCAAAATGATCAGCTGCTTGAGATTCAGATAACAAAGAAAATCCATCAAATAACGTTTCCTCCTGCCAACGAAAAGATTCTCAAATCTCTCTCTCTACATAAATATATATATACATACACACACATGACAACACGAGAGTGAAAACGAGAAGTATTAATTATGGGAAATATATATATATATGTTTAAGCATATATATATATATATATATATATATATATATATATATATATATATATTTTTTCCGCCTCTCGTATACACGTATTTGTCGTTGCTTTGAAATTTTTGTTGCAACAAAAACAGACTATCATTATTGTTTCGTCCGTGTATTGGTTGATATATTGAAAAATAATTGTCATCTTTGATAATGGTTTATGTAAGCCGGAAGTTTAGATTGTATTTAAACATGTATCAATATGGTGATTTCCTTTCGTCTTTCAATGATAATGTTATTAAGCTTATCAGACAATATGATCAATATTATTTATAGAAACATGCATTTATATATATATATATGTGTGTGTGTGTGTGTGTGTGTGTGTGTGTGTGTGTATTTATTATGAAATGGTCCGACAGTGATTTTAATATATTTTCTGTGTATACATTATTTATACGTAACAGAGAATATATTGAAATAATTGCTGGACTTAGTTCATTTCATGTTGTCATTTCTTTTCGTTAAGATACGCTTCGATTAGGCATGCTTGTTCGAAAAAGACTGTAGTAAATTTGCTCGTTTAAAAAAAGTAATTTGAATTGGCTAATCGGATGCTTCCTTTGTAGCTAAATGGTATGGCATGTCAGGCGAAATGACGGTTCCGGAGGAGACATTTTCTAAGAAATTTCTCGGACATTCAGGTCGATAAATTTAGTAAATTCTTTATTATAATATTAAAATTATTCATTACAAACTCAGCATTTACTTAAATAACTGTATCTATAAAAAATAACGTATAAACAGAATATATATATATATATATATATATATATATATATATATATATATATATATGATAAAAATATTTTATATATATATATATATATATATATATATATATATAAGAAATATACATAATATCTTACATTAAATGCACGCGTCCAACCATCCACCCTCAATTATCAAAGACATGCCTAAATATATCAGCCGCCGGCTATCAGTCTACTCATCCAACACAGACATTTTCAACGATAAAAAAAAACATCATATAACAACGCATTACAGGAAAGCGGATACACACAACAGCTAGGATACACACCACCACAACCAAAACGGAAGAACAGAAAAAGTAATATAAATCAATTTACACTTCTTTCAGAACACACATCGGCAGAATATTCCTCAATCAAATAAAAAATCATTCCCCTACAACAAACCCTTCAGCAAAAATATTTAACAAAAACAACGTAAAAGTTAGCGACAGCTGCACTCTAAACATAACACAAATAATAAAAAATCGCTACAAAAAACAATAGCATGTAATAGCACAAACAAAGACCCCCAATGCAACTTAAGACAAAACCACATGCCCACTACAAGGGAACTGCTTACAAACAAAGATAGTATACAAAGCTGAGATCAAAGCAAACAATACTACAGTGCATGACATTAGCGCCACAGAAGGATCATTCAAAGAAAGAAAATACACACGCGACCTCTCCAACAGACAATACACCAGCATCGCGACACTATCCATATCCAACTAAATGACAAATACATCTCACCAAAAATACGCTGAGAATACAATAACATATCAAGGATATGTCTACTATGCCTGCAAGAAATAGTGGCAATAATTACCCACACACACACAAAAAAAAAATACTAAATCAATGATCGGGAATAATTTCAAAATGCAGACACGAAAACAAATACCTATTATCACAGTTCAAAACAAACGGATAACACCAACAATAAAAACTGAACACAAACGGGAAAGAACTTAACGAGAAAATGGTAGAACACTAAACCACCAGAATGCTAAAACTAACAAAACATAACCACCAACATGTATCAGTAACAATAACAACACTGTTACCAAAATTACCACCAACCACACAAATACAACCACCGCCAATATAAAAGTGAAGATTGAAGAGAAGACAGACTATTTCAAGGTAAACGCAATCATCAGGCCACATGCGTTGTGTTTCTTTCTCGACTATTTATATATATGGGTCAGTGGCGCATTGTCGGTAGTATATTGCATTGTGAGTAGGCTATTCTAAAGGTTGTTTTTGCGGGAGTCGTTTTGTTAATTTGTTTATTATCCCTTTTGTCGGCTCTGAGTGTTGACTTCAATATATATATATATATATATATATATATATATATATATTCCAAGGGAATTAAGAGCAGCATGATTCCATCCAGCTTTTATCTTAAATAACAACTTAAAAGTGAATGTTTGACCAACACAAAGACTGGCCAAAATTCGCGTTAAAAAAATAAAATAAAACAAATGAAAACTACAGACCAAAGTTCATTTTCTCCATCAAGACATTCATTTATGTAGTTCACTGCTACCATCAAGCAGAAAATTATTTTTCTTCTGATGATGGCCATGTTGGCCGAAACTAGTCTAGGAATCTAAATGAAATAATAATAAAAACGAGGGAATATTAATATACAACCCAGTGTGTCTGAAGATTTTAATTTTTTAATATTTTTCATTGTTCAAAAAAAATATATATATATATATATGATTAAAATATAGAAAGAGCTAAGACGATTGTACAAACTGTGTGTCCTGCTCTTTTCAAACGATTGAGCACTTGTAGCCCACACCATTTAGGATATGCAACGGACCGTTGACCAGTTCTTGACCATCAGCATAAAACTTTGCAACTTGTCTATCAGCCTATCTGTAACCATTTCTCAGATGTTGCCCCCACTGTTTATTTTGAAAGAAACGTGTTCAAAACCTTTACTTCTTTCTGTGGAATCCAGAGATTCTAAAATGGACAAAAAAATTGAGTGAAGAGTTAGAAAGACTCGGTCTGCTTTCTGTAAACTTTGCCATAGACAACAAGAATTTTGACACAGCAAACGAACAGATCTAGCAATTGATTCAATATAATCTTCTGGAGGTTAGCATCAGCCCTGCTAATGTATGTCATAAAATTTATTAACATATTAAACTAAATCGAGTGACCAAATGATGCCTAATCAAAAACACAACGAATTTTATGAGACACACTTTATCGAAGAATAAAAATGCCACCAGTGTTTGGGCGATAAAAACAAAGTCCTTGTGTGTCTAATCTAACGGGAAATAACGCTACAAGTATTGAATCAGACAGAGTTAAGTCACCCCACATATCTTCTGAGCTGAGTCCTCAATAAGGATTAGTTTTGAAAGATCATCACTAATCACATTTAAATTTCCTTGATTGCTACTTCTGTGGATTCATTGAAAAATACATTCAGCTACTTTGGGTCAATAATGGGAAGGCAATAAATTCAAATGAATCCCATTTCAATACCAGTAGCCCACCCTGGCAACCCATCTACCGAGCCTGGCTATATCTCTGAGATGAGATATTATGATTACTTGCATTATTTACATTATTCGAACTGTTATCCTCATCTTCATTGCCATATTCACCACGTTTCGGCCTCTATATCACTGAGATGAGGTATTATGATTATTGCATTATTTACATTATTCGGACTGTTATCCTCATTTTCATTGTCATATTCACAACGTTTCGGCCTCTATATCTCTGAGATGATATATTATGATTACTTGCATTATTTACATTATTCGGACTGTTATCCTCATCTTCATTGTCATATTCACCACGTTTCGGCCTCTATATCACTGAGATGAGATATTATGATTACTTGCATTATTTACATTATTCGGACTGTTATCCTTATCTTTATGGCCATATTCATAACGTTTCGGCCTCTATATCTCTGAAATGGGGTATTATGATTACTTGCATTATTTACATTATTCGGACTCTCATCCTCATCTTCATTGCTCTATTCACAACGTTTCGGCTGTTAATGCATATATTAACGTATATAAATTAATGTGTATTAATGTATATAAATTATCTGCAAATGCTTTATTTTTGTTTTTTTGTTCCGAATTGATTTTGTTGGGTTTTCTTTTTCTACCAATTTAAATTGAGCGGATTAACAAATGTAAGCCGATGTAAAATTGTTTTAATACTTCAAATTTTATAACAATGTCCACCCAATGCAAATCTCAAGAACCACTCAACGTATCGGGTTTGGTTTGGATTGGTTTGATTTGGCTTATTTTGTTTTACGGCATATCAACACCTGAATGGGTCATTTAATTTCTGCATGATTTTTAGGATAGGCCCGTATGAATAGAATATATTCTTTATAAGAAATCAGTTTTCAGATCAGCTTTCACTGACATATTTTTTGTAGAGGATTTTTTTTCGAGAGATAGTCAAACGTATTGCTGGTAATTTCTTTTTTTTTACTATAAAAATGCATTTTTATACTTTCATAATATTTTGAATTCAGTTGTGGGTGTAAATATTTGCCCATAGGTGGGACCCTAATAGGTGCTACCACCCCGGGTCAGGGTGGACCGAAGAACAATAGCAATTAAGAGGTGGTTCCACGCTCCTCAAAACTTCCCAATCAGAGGCCTTGCTGCCGGATGTAGTTTATCGTCATACCCAGGATAGCAAGGTAGAGGATTACTGTTAAATCTTTTAAGATGAAATGTGAATGAAAATGGAGTTGATAGGAAGTAAAGATTATAAGAACAAGAATAATAAATGGGGAAAATATCCCATGGCGTTAAGATTTTATATTCTGCATTCATATAAGATTGTAGAAATATCAGGGATGGGTCCATAGAACTGTGATTTAGTTGGATGCTGTTTCATAGATATGTTAAAACGCTTAGCATCCAAGTGTAAGTTTCATCAAGCTTAGACTTTAGGATTTTAGTTTATGTCCAAGCAGTGTTACCATACATTAACACCACCTCTACACTGGCTTGAAATAATCTCTGCTTAAGGTTGTATGGTAGATCAGATTTCCAGATTACATCCATTTTATTCAAGGTGTGGCACCATGCATACCTAGCAAGCTGAAAAGAAATATTCATAAATATATGAGAGCTGAAAAATATTTGGGTTTTGAGAATAATTCTTTCTTTACGTTCAAGCGATCTAGAAGAAAGAAAGAGAAGACAGAAGAAAAAAAAAGGAGAAAAATAAATAATACGAAACCAGGTCGTAAGCGAGCACACACACGCTCGACTGGCATATAACAGATGTCAAAAATATCAGGTCAAACACCTGACCTACTTCCGTGTCCACGAAAAATGGAAGTTTGTTATCAAATGGTTGAAGAAACAAAGTTTAGGGACAATGAAAAAAATATGATAGGTAACAGGTGGGAAGTGTATCTAAGGATATGAAGACAAACCATTAATACGAAAACACAGGCAATTCCAGAATTGAAAAAAAAGTCACACAAGATGATGTTGGCTGAAAATGTTTTTTTGAGATAATGAAGATTTTTGTTATCAAGCTTCGAGGGAAAGAAAAAGTAAAATATTTTTATTCGTTCACAAAAACGCCACCCAGTCTGAAAATCCCTTTTCTTAGGTCGTGTCCAATTAGCGATAAACTGCTTGACAAATACCACGTGTTAAAAAAAAAAAAACCGAAGGTGTCATCGCAGTCGCTCATGACAAGGGCAATTTAAATTTTTATTTTTTTTTAAGCAAGGTGTTTCTTCGCCCAGAACAAAGCCACGGATTGTCCACGCCCGACTAAAGAAGTCATTGGCTAGATGGGATCACGTGGCGCACGAAGGAGGAGGAAAAATACCCGACCAGGACCTCATTGGCCGAGAGCAGTCACGTGACGCACGAGGAGAATCGGTCGACGCCCTTGTCAGAAGTGTAAGTGTGAGGGGCCGATACGAGGAAGCGGGGAAGCGGGTATACGCCCTCAGAGACACAATAAGGAAGTAGGAGTGAAAGTGAATTACCGAAAATGGAAAATCCCTAACCAGAAATAAGAAGGTTGGATACGTATTTAAAATTATCAAGAGAAAACCCTGGCGCCGACAGACCCACCCCAGTTTTTGACTGCGTCAATAAAAGCGGGACCCCAACCGACAGAAATGAGTTTGCGCCGCGGACGGCGAGAGAGATCAGCCGTGAACGACAAGCAGAGATCAGCGCCCAGTGTTGAAACCGCGTCAAGATAGCTAACCAAGATTCACGCACACTTCTGGACTCTTCTTCAACCAAGAACAAGTGGTTTGAGGAGCGACTTAAAATCAGACCACAGAAATAAGTTTTTTTTTTTTTTCGACTTTCGTCCAAGGACACGCCGAAACACAAATTTCTTAGAGAGCAGACAACTGGAAGCCTTAAAGTTGCCTAGTAAAAGCGTTGTGCCACAATCCACAGAACGGGTCGGGAGGTAGACATAGTCCTATGTACCGAGCAAATAGACATAAAAGTTTGTTACCTTTTTCTTGATACGTTGGACCTTGTGAGTTGTTATTTTATTTTTTTTTATTATACATAATTGTGTGATATCACCCCCGTTAGACTCAACTTGCATTACGGCCCCAAGCCCTGTTGATCTCGTCTGTCTAAGATCAAGTCACAACGTGGGTAGGCAGACCGGAGATCAGTGCAGTTACCCTGGTAACCAGGCGTTGGAAGCAGGTTGGGTACAACGAGGCTGGTATCAATCTAACCAAAGGGTTAGAACGTCACGTTTGGAGCAGCGAGGAGTGAACAGCCGACGCTGCGACAAAAGACGTCACAACTGGTGCTGTCCGTGACCAGGATATCAGAGCCTGGGGAGCACGTGACGTCACAATTGGCGCCGCGAACGGGATCGAACGACACAGTCGACGCTGCGACCGGGGGACGACGTCACAAAGGGCAGATAGGCTTTAACTGTGTAAATTTTCACATCCTTTTCAGTACAGTTTATTTCACTTCCTAGCTATATAAAAGACTCTACAGACTTCATAATATTTCTACATTAAACTTTATAACATTTTTACAGATTATTTATATCTCAAATACAAATAAAGTTATAAATTTTTTAAAGTGCACACAAACTTTATGGTCACCCTGTATTTTGGCTTGGTTTAATGGTCAGTGAGTTTGATCATTACTACATATTTGTGGTCCTTGTGTCAAACTAAGTTAACTTCAGTAAATAACTGTTACTGTGACTCAGTGTGAAATAATAGTCTGGTTGACTATTGTTGTGTAGTGAGTTTAAAGCTCACTGGTGCTCCCATACAAAATTGAATCTTAAGTAATGTGAAAAGGATTGATATGTTAGTCAAAAATATGAATGCGTAATGAAATTGGAATGGTAATTGACCAGCAGAAGATCTTTCCCGATTCTGGTTTTCATTGAACCAAAATTGAAGTCTTCAATGTCCATCTGTAAGAAGACCTTTTTTTTTTCATTTGCCATTTATTTTCCAAATTTTTCCCAGCCCACAAAAGCTAACCAAATCATCTGATAAAAGCCTCGTTTTTTTTTCGCCCTTGCTAAGTCTGTGTGTTTAATTATTTTTAGAATCGATATAAGAGCCACGAGCTTCTGTTTTATCAATATGTGTAAAGCGTTTCTCAAGAAAAGGAAGAAAAAATCATTTAGAAGCATATAAAGTATTTTTATCCATATTTTTTTAGATCGAAAAATAAACCCATTTCTCTATTTACACACACACACACCACAAGTATATATACCGGGCCTAACAGAAAAGAAATTGACCCAATATCGTGTAACAGCAAAATTGTCTAATTGTTAGATTAAGCTTTGAACTGTTTTATCTTAGAAATGATTAAAGATATCTTACTGGAATTCTCCGATGTTGGACTCTTCTTTGAGCAATAAGAATTTATAATTACTCACCAAACTTAACAGAAGAATCGTGATGAAATCAACCATAAACGAAAATGACATGTTCATCATTAATAAATCATAGCTAAGGATCGGAAGCTCATGAAAGATTGAAATAAAATTCAAATATATATATATATATGTGTGTATATATATATATATATATATATATATATATATATATATATATATAGAGAGAGAGAGAGAGAGAGAGAGAGAGAGAGATAGATAAATATTATTTCAGGATCATTTTCCAACTTATTCAAGATGCTCTTCGCCCACTCTAACCTTCTAACTTTCTTCCTAGAGTAACAAGGTACCTCACAAGTTTCACGTACGATTTCATTTTCAAGTTTTTTTTTTTCATTGCTCTTTGGACTGTCATAGTTGAAACTTCTCTCTCACATGCCAAAAGTCTTATGGATTTGAGTTGGATCTTTTGTAATTGATAACTTTATCACTAAGTTGAAATGATGATCCCTCTTCCTGTTTTGACCTGCTGATCCAGATTTCCACTCTACTGTATCCTCTATTTTAAACTTACTCACCGTCCTCTTGATGGTTCTTGAATGCACTTTGAAGATGGGAGCCAGATTATGAATGTTGGCACTATTACTGAATGATCATTTTCCTCACACCATTGTTCAGTTGGAAAGACAATGAGGCTGACAGAAAACGATTTTAGACTGTACTCTTTCTATCTGAATAAATCAAATGGTTTTTCAGTAATTCTTACGACAAATGTTCCAAGTCGGCCGTGGCCACTGCTATCCCGTCCAGTATGAGATGAACCGCGGGATCGGTGCAACGGTTTGCATGCTCGCTCGAACGAGCGGCGGTGCCACGCTGCCTCCGCGCGATAACGGCTGAAAGCCTCTAAGCGGGAACCGCGGAACACTGCCGTCACGGTATTACGAAAGGCGTCTCTTTTCGTTCTGCTTGAGCCTTCGATAGCGGTCGTCGTCGCTAGGAAGGCGTCCACGGTCGTCGTGGTCCGCTTTCGGTGGCGCTCGTCGTCGCCGTGCGCATCCGCTTCGGCTGTTGTCGCTTTGCACGCGGCGGCGTCCGCGAACGGGCCACCCGTTTTGACATCCGCGACAGGCGGGATTTTGCCGTCGCCGTCGAATTTCGAACCCCCCGTGGAGCGTGAGACGAGGGATCGCTCGTAGGCCACTTGACTTCAGGCTCGGCGTGTCGTACTTAGTAGAGCAGCAACCACAATGCGATCTATTGAGACTAATCCCTCGAACGGGAAGGAAAGTGACAGACGTATATATATATATATATATATATATATATATATATATATATATATATATATATATGCTCCGTTTATATTAAACAGTAGTCACAGCAGTTACCGGTCATTTCATAATATTTATGTTATCATTTGTTTGCGTTAAAATACACTTCGATATGTTCGTTCGAGAAAAATCGTGGGAAATGTGTTGTTTAAAAACAGTAATTTGACTTGGCTGACCAGGGCTTCCTCTGTAGCTGAATGTTATAGCACGTCAGGCTATATGACTGTTCCGTGTAGGATGCAGGTCCGATTCCTGTCGGAGGACGGATATATTCTATGAAATTTCTCAGAACATTCAAGCAGGTAAAAATAGTTAATACAGTTTGTTTGCTTATATATTTGTATCTATATAAGTGAATATTGCTTTTACACAACAAATTTCCCACAGATTTCTGCTCGAAGTGTATCTTAACATAAGCAAATATAGTATATGTTATGAAATGGCCGCCAAATGTAGTTAATAATGTTTATTATAAAATAGAACATTATTTAAATATTTGAATCGATAAAAATAACTTATAAACAGAAAATATATTTACACATACACACACACACACACACACACATATATATATATATATATATATATATATATATATATATATATATATACAATTTTATAAGATACCAATTTTATAAGATATTTGTATTTTGCTTTTTTACTCTATATTCTATTCTCTATTCTATTCCATAAAATATTCCATATTTTATTCCATATTCTATTCTATATTCTATTCTATATTCTGTTCCATATTCTATTCCATATTTTATTCCATATTCTATTCTATATTGTATTCCATATTCTATTCTTCGATTCTATTCTCTATTCTCTTCCATATTCAATTCCATTTTATTCGATATTCTATTCTATATTGTTTCCATATTCTGTTACATATTTGATTCCATATTCTATTCTATTCTATATTCTATTTTCTATTATGTTCCGTATTCTATTTTCTATTATGTTGCATATTCTATTCCATATTCTATTCTATATTCTATTTTCTATTATGTTCCATTTCTATTCCATATTTTATTCTATTCCATAGTCTATTCCATATTCTATTCCATATATTCTTCCATATTCTATTCTATATTATGTTTTTAATATGCTATTTTTTTATATAATCTTTAATATTAATATTCTGTATTCCCTATTATTATTTATTGCATAATTTTTATTGTATATAAAGCTTACGTCCACATCACGTAGAAACGCTGGTAACTGTAGGATCGACGAAGTTAAACAACGCCGAGCCTGGCCAGTAACTAGATGGGTATTGCTTGCGAATTATAGGTGCTCTAAGCTTCTATGTGCGTGTGGTTTAATTAGAAAAGACTTGGAATTGTTAATCGGAGAGCTGAGTTCCAATTCCAATTGGATTCGTTATATTCACTTATTATTTGTATTATTTACATTACTGAGACTGTTATCGTCATTTTCATTGCCATATTCACAACGTATCGGCCGTTGTAATCTCCGACCTTCTTCAGGTGATTAGAAGTTGGAACCGAACCCTATATTTCGTAAATTGTTCTAGTTCCACGTGCCATGACTCTTCCAGGTGTCTGAGTTATTTCCCTTGAATTCAACTCTCGTCAAGGACATATTAGCCAGATCATAAAGGCGTTGGTTAAGTCCAGAAACTCGACCCAAAGAGTTGTGATTTTAATAACAACATCAAGACAGTTCGGCCTCTATATCTAATATATATAACATTCGGATTGTTGAACTCATCTTTATTGCCATATTCACAACGTTTCGGCCTCCCTATCTCTGAGATGAGGTATTATGATTACTTTCTATTATTTACATTATTCGGACTGTTATCCTCATCTTCATTGCCATATTCACAACGTTTCGGCCTCTATATCACTGAAATGAGGTATTAGGATTACTTGCATTATTCATACTGTTATCCTCATCTTCATTACCATATTCACAACGTTTCGGCCTCTATATCTCTGAGATGAGGTATTATGGCTACTTGCATTATTTACATTATTCGGACTGTTATCCTCATCTTCATTGGCATATACATACCGTTTCAGTCTATATGTCTCTGAGATGAGGTATTATGATTAGTTGCATTATTTACATTATTCGGACTGTTATCCTCATCTTCACAACATTTGAGGATAATGTAAATAATACAAATAATTATTTATGCTTCATCTCAGAGATATAGACAGATATTGAAACTTTCCTGTTTTATTCTATAGATCTGTTCATTCCTTTCTTTGTTTTTTGTTCTTTATTTCTTCGTCTTTCTTTATTCACATATTCGTTTATTCTTTTATTCATCTATTTTTTGTGTTTGTGGTGATATTTTTCGCCATCTAACTGTCCTTACAGCTTTGTTAGGACCACAAAGAACATCTCTCTGATATTTTTTTTCTTCATTAATGCTTGAAGAATTTCAATTTGACTCGCTAAGATCCATGTGGTTGGAATTGATTTGAAAAATGGGAAGTCTTGAACAATCCAATAATCCAATAAAATATAGGAAAGAATTCTTGTCATCTTCGTATACAGCCTTCAGATTGTGTTTATAGGCTGAGTGTGTGTTTCTTGATTTATTTTTTTTTTATCTTGTTATATGTCAAAGAAAGAAGGTTGGATGAAAACGAATGAGAAGGGAACGGGAAAAAACAAAGAAATACAAACCGGAAAAAGAATAAGAAACTCCAGGAGAAAGGCGGGAAAAAAAAGAAGAGGAAAAGGCGGGAAACCTAATTGATGAAGGAAAAAATCTAAGAAAAAAAAAATGGTGACAGGTGAATACGATCGAAAGAAAAGGTTAGAAAAAAGAACTCTGTAAAAGGAAAGGAAAAAAATCGGAATAGAAAAACGAACGAAAGAAGAAATGAATTTTGAGCAGAAAAATATTGTGAATAATAGATTGTTAGCCACAATGAATACGAAGGATCGGGATTTGTGAAATGTATGCATTCCCAGCATTCCTTTTTTCCCCAGATATCAGACGGATGTAACTGAACCAATTGCAAGCAAAACACAAGGAGATGAAGACAATTAGGTTAAAATATAAAAACTGAGAGAAAGAAATGCTACAAACTGGTCAGTGAATTCGATTCGAACGGAACTCGTCAGCAATTCTGAGTCATATTGACAAGCATTAGAAGATATTTTCATTTATTACTTCAGACCTGCTTTTTAAGTCTCCTTTTATTTCTTCTGATGGAGGCCATTTTTATGTTGTCTTTTGTATACTTCAGTTAGAGAGACTTTCCATCGCTTTTTTTTTTCTAAGACGTATTATTAGGTGAGTCATTGCTTTGTGGTTTGGTGTGGCGCAAAAGGCTTGGCTGCAAAGCAACTGAACAAAATAAAATAATATCTGTGTATTGGCTAGGTTATGTCTTTATATAACTGAAAGATGTATACCTATCTACGTACAGAGGAAATATCTACACACACACACACAGAGAGAGAGAGCGACACACACACAGACACACACACAACACACACACACATATATATATATAAATATATATATATATATATATATATATATATATATATATATATAATTTTTTTTAAAAATATGATTCCTTCGCATATTTTTCCAAAATAATTATAATTTAAGCTCTATTTCTGTATGCAGCACAGTTATTTAAAATAAATACAAAAATACTAAAGAACCCCGGTTATTTACCTAACGTGTTAATTCCTATTTTTCTAGATATCTGCATATATATATATATATATATATATATAGATAGAGAGAGAGAGAGAGATTCCAATGTAATAAATTCCATGGAATATTAGACTTTCAGCATTTTATATTATATATATTGGACATTGAGTTATACCTGGATTCTATCCTCTTGCTTGGAAATATATATATATATATATATATATATATATATATATATATATATATATGAAGAAATATACTCATAAATTGTGCTATATTTATGGGATAAAGTGCTCAATATCAGAGATAGAGCGTGTGTAAATATAAAAGTGAGCATTGAAGTCAACACTTAGAGGCGACAGGCTGTTTCATACTAGACGCAATATATATATATATATATATATATATATATATATATATATATATATAGTTATTTTCCAAGCGTAGATTAGATGTGACACAAAGTCGAAATTATACTGTACCCAGTGAGGATCGAACTCATTGTTCAGTCGAGACAAGCTTGCTAACCACTACACCGCCTCGTGGTATCCTATGATTTTCTAAGCATAGCTTAGTTTCGTCACAAGGCCGAGTGTATGGGGCACCCAGTGAGGATCGAACTCACTACAGAGTGTAATTGTTCAAGCAAAATAAGCTTTCTAGCCATTACACCACGCGGAGGTGCCCTCTTAAAATGATTTTCTAAGCATAACTTAGATGTGGCACAAGGCCGAAAGTTTGCAGCAACAAGTCAGGATCAAACTCACTAAGTTATAAATGATCTAACACGACAAGCTTGCTAACCTTTATACCATGTCGTATATATATATATATATATATATATATATATATATATATATATATATATATATATAATTATTTTTTAAAAAACATTTTCCTTCGCTACATAAGAGTTCTCATGTTTCAAAAACGAGAGCCGAAACCCTCAATATAATTATTAAAATTAAATTGAGTTAAAGTATCAAGCCCTGTTTCATCCTCAAGAGAAAATTTAGGAATAACTAATCTTGAAATCTACGCATCTTCATAAGCATGTTCATTCGCAAAATTAATTATTATGGAAACGGCTGGGGCGACCATTTTGATAAGGGGCCTAAGAGTTAATTTTTATCCACATATCAGTCACCTTCGGAAAGAGGTCAAGCCGAGCTAGGGTCAGGGTGTCCATTTCAAAGCGAATGATGGCATTCATGTACGCACATCGTCTGGTCAGTCACAGCGAAAGATAGCTTTACGCACCATAATATGTCGTTAAGTGTCCAGGGAATTTTGTTTTATTTTATTTTATCTATTTATTGATTTATTTATTTTTATTTTTTTATTTTATTTTTTAAAAGGATGTTTCATACATAAACACGTCACACCGAACTACAATGATTTTTTTTTTTTTTTTTGCTAATTATATATATACAATATTTGGGAGCCGTCGGTGGTTATGCTAGCATGAAGTCACAAGTCATCGTGACCGAAGGTTTGAGTATGCTGGTCTTCTACAGACTTTTGATCATGCTAGATAACACGAAACCTTAACTCAGGTCTACTCAGAATAGTTGCTGTGAGTGCTGAACAAACACAAAATGCGATTGTGTTGCTGTCTGCAATGGGTATTTGCTAGCCACCCTAGTAGACTGACATCCTTGGATTCAGTGTCTGGGCCATTTACACACACACATATATATATATATATATATATATATATATATATATATATATATATATATATATATATTATATTATATTATATTATATTATATTAAATTACAATAAAAACTTATGATATAAACAAATCGTTACGTCTTTCGGAAGTTAAAGGGAAGCATAAAGTCAGAATTAAAAATATACTTACGGGTATGTTTACATCAGTGGTTCTCAAACTTTTTGAAGTCGGTGCATACTTGAAATCCTACCAGTAATTGTAGGCGCGTTATATACAAATTTCGGAAAAATATGTTATAATGAAGTCAAATATTGTAGAAAGAAATAATGCAATAAAGAAATATAAAATAAAATATACCTTAAGTCTATTCATTCTTGTGTTTATGAGAAACATGAGTCTTAGTGATTTCTTCAATGTTTGGGTGTATATTTGATAGGCAAACTTTCATTTCCTCCTCAATACATTGAAGAGTTCCTCTCTTTTTACAATTGTGATGAGAACAGAAAAGCCTCATTCACATAAATAGGTTTCAAAGTGTTGTAAAATAGTCAGAGCTTTTTTTTAGATACTGAAACATATTTTCTTTTATAGAAATCACGAAAAGTTTCAAGAGACAATTCATTATTTTTAATCATCAACCCACGATCAATGGATATAACTATCAGTTCTACTTCTTCAGTTAATGGTAAACCAAAATTACTTGAAGATTCCATGAATACTTTTCTAACCCAATCGTATTGTTCAGTGTGAAGTGATGGAAAAGAAGAAATCAGTTTTTCCTCTAAAGTTGTTAAATATTTAATTATTGGAAGTATTTCAGTTATGCAAATGTTACTCACCAATGGAAACATTTCCAAATTACCTTCAACAATTTTTCTTTTCCAAATCTGTAGTTTTCTCTGAAACGCTTCCATTTTGTCAGTGGATATGAGAATATTTTCTTCTTTTCCTTTGCATGCTAGGATTCAAAAGATTGAAAAGCTGAAATATATCGGCCAAATATTCTAACCTGGTAATCCAAAATTAGCACCGAAGGGGATCGCAAAAATCTAATCATTTAATCTCTTTAAAAAACGCAATAAGTTCTTGTCGTACACGGTGTTTAAAAGCAACCGTTTCTGTTGAGAATCCATTTTTGACACAAAGTTATTCGAATAATGTTTTAATAATAATAATAATAATAATAATAAGTTTTAATAGAATTTACCATCTGAAAAACTTGATCTAAAACTCGTCTTAATTTTTCTCCTGTCTTTTTACCATTAAGGCCTCCCCTTTGAAGGAAACAGTGAGTTACAGTAACATTTCCATTTTGTTCACAAACGACGTAACGCCCTTAATACAATCTACCATGAAAGGGGCCCCATCTATACAAATGTCTACACACTATTTACATTATTCGGACTATTGTCCTCATCTTCGTCGCCATATTTCTTACAACGTTTCGGACGTTGTATGCTCCGGCCTTCTTCAGGTGGTAGGAATGTCGAACTGAACCCTACTGGGGTAGACTAGTCCCACGTGCCATGTCTAATGAATGCCAATTATCAATTATCTCCTGTTGATTCGCCTCTCCAAGTTCTCTACGGCCTTAACCAGGCATTGAAATCACACTCTTTTGGGTTCTGTCACTGTCCTTTAACGCCTTTATCCATGTGTCCTTGAGGACATCTGTGTATGATTTTCTATGTATTATAAACCTAATTTCTTCAGCAACGGTTTTTTACCAGTGCTCATATTGCAATTTTGCTGTTATCATTTCATGTTTTTACCAGAGCTCGTATTGCAATTTTTGTTGTTGTTATCGCTTTTCTTTGGCACTCTTTATAACTGGTTCCCATATTGTATTCATTTCTGTGCTTGGTCGGCTCAGAAGATTTTTGTGACGAAGGGCGGAGCATGCAACGGCCGAAACGTTGTAATAAATATGGCAACAAAGATGAGGACAATAGTTCGAATAATGTAAATAGTGTACATAATACCTCATCTCAGAAATATAGACAGATACTGAAAGGCCGAAACGTTGTAATAAATAGGGCGACA